TGTTCTTTTTTTCCTATGGCTCCTGTAGTTTCCTTATTATTTAGGTTTTCTGTATTGTATTAAATAATTGCTACAAAAATCGGGTCATCCCAGTTCTAATTTTAAAGAGGCAGTGGCGAATAAACTGAAATTTTCATATTTAGCAAAATTCAAGGTGAAATTCCAGAAAATGATCTTTTTTGTTTTTTTTTTCTCAGATACAAGGGACCAAAAAATTACGCCAAAGAAGACAGCAGAGCACCTAGTGAATTTTCAAGTTGAAAACTGTGCCATTTTTTTATGCTTTTTTAAGACTTTTTAGGCTTTTTTGGCTTTTTTGGCTTTTTTAGGCTTTTTTGGCTTTTTTAGGCAATTTTAGACTATTTTTAGGTTCTTGAAATATTATAAAACTTTACTAAATTTTGCTATTTTAAAATAATACAGGGCGCTTTGTTGGAACAAAGTCGTTTTATTAATTTATTTTTTTAGAAATCAACTACTTATTTCACATTTTTAGGCTCCCGAGATTTTATAAAATAAAAAAAAAACTGGTTTAAAAAAAACCACACCACGTTTTTTTGCTATTTTTAGGCTCCTGTAATATAAAAATTCCGAAAAATTCTGAATTATTTAAAAATAAACGATTCTATGCCGAGTTCAAAGTTTTTTTCCTAAAAACAAATATACCACATGTTTAGGCTATTTTTAGGATCTTAAAATATTATAAAGCTTTATTAAAAAAAATGCTATTTAAAAAAAATATAGCAGAGGGTTTTTCAAAAATAGCAATTTTTACGAAATGTTTAATATATTTCAAGAGCCTAAAAATACCCTAAAAATGAGGTATAATTTATTTTTAGAAAAAAAACTGTGGAAAAACATGGGTTCGTTCGAAGCTACCAAAGCACTACGTCTTTTTTTTTTTAATAGCAAATTTTATTTAAAATGTTTTATATATAAAATATTTTATATAATTTCAAGAGCCTAAAAATGTGTCATAGTTGCTTTTAGAAAACCCCTTTAAAACCCCAAGGTGTCCCACTGGCTTCGTTTGAAGTTAGCAAAGCACACCGTATTTAAAAAATAGCAATTATTATCAAAAAACGTTATATTATATCAAGAGCCAACCTATCCTAAAAATGTGGCATAGTAATTAAAAAAAATAACTTAAAAAACTTAGGTGCTTTGCTAGGCTTCTTTCTAGCAAAGCCTTTTTATAAAAATACTATTTTTAAGAGCCTATAAATAGCCCAAATAGACTAAAAATAACCCAAAAATGTGGCATACCTAAGTATAGGGTTGCCACATTTACAAAAGGGAAAAGAGGGACAACGGTGGCGACAGGTGATCAGGTTAAAAACCAAGTATTTTTTATAAAATTAAGTCTTTTTTTTTTGGAGATTCTAAAAAAAGGTAATTTTCGTATTTTGGCGGAACAATTACGCCTAAAGCGGGACGTCTGGTAACCCTACATAAGTAGTTGTTTTCAGAAAAAGAAATTAATAAATCGAGGTGCTCTGCTGATTTTGTAAACAACAAAGCACCACGGGTGTGAAGCTATCCACATCCACAAATGTACACTGAGAAAAAGATAGCTCTATCGTAATAGTCATATAACTTGTTTCAAATGACATGTAGAGGCTTTTCATTTGCAGATTTCAATTGGGGAGGTTTCAATACATAACAACCATATCCGCAATTAACTTTTGCTCTGTCTGAGGGGGTGCAATTGGGGGTTGCTGGAGTTAGTCGAGCCGTCTGAAGGGGTGCAAATGAAGGTGAAATTAAACAAAATATCATAGAAGCAACAAATGGCTTTGTACACCTTTCTACTTGGGATATGTTATGTAGTTTGCTTTTTTCTTTATCCCTAATACCATTCTGGAGTTTGTTGAGCCGTCCGAGGGGGTGCAATTGGGAGTGAACTTTAAAAAATATAGAAACCACAAATGGCTTTGTACACATTTCTGGTTGGGATATGTTATGTACTTAGTTTACTCTTTTTTTTTATCCCTGATACCTTGCTGGAGTTGGCCGAGCCGTCTGAAGGGGTGCAATTTGGGGTTAAATTAAACAAAAAATTATAGAAAAAACAAATGGCTTTGTACACCTTTCTGCTTGGGATATGTTATATAGTTTGCTCTTTTCTTCATCCCTGATACCATGCTGGAGTTTGTCGAGCCATCTGAGGGGGTGCAATTGGAGGAGAAATTAAAAAAATCGTACAAGCCACAAATGGCTTTGTACAACTTTCTGCTTGGGATATGTTATGTAGTTTGCTTTTTTCTTTATCCCCGATACCATGCTGGAGTTTTTCGAGTCATCTGAGGGGGTGCAATTGGGGGTGAAATTAAAAAATCTTACAAGCTACAAATGGCTTTGTACACTTTTCTGCTTACCGCAAATGGCTTTGTACACCTTTCTGCTTGGGATATGTTATGTTTGCTTTTTTCTTTATCCCCGATACCATGCTGGAGTTTGTCGAGCCGTATGAGGGGGTGCAATTGGAGGAGAAATTAAAAAAAAATTTACAAGCCACAAATGGCTTTGTACACCTTTCTGCTTGGGATATGTTATGTAGTTTGCTTTTTTCTTCATCCCCGATATCATTTTGGAGTTTGTCGAGCCGTGAGGGGTTGCAATTGGTTGTGAAATTTAAAAAAAAATCGTAGAAGCCACAACTGGCTTTGTACACCTGTCTGCTTGGGATATCTTATGTAGTTTGCTCTTTTCTTCATGACCGCTCCCACCACCTGGACATAGTACATGTTGTTTTTCAGCCCACTCCCCTGTACCCTACTACAAATAGCAAGCAAAAAAATTCGTCGTGCCACTTTTTGCAGTCAGATGAGGGGCTATTAACTATTCTAATCAATAAAATTTGGAGAGAGAATGTAATTTGCATGGCCATTAGAGAAAAGGCGATTTATGAAAACTACAGGTATGAACATGAATGTCAAAAACATCTATCTTAACCCACTCTTGCGAGAAAAATATTACGTAATCCAGTGTGACACCCGTGGTGACACCTCATTTGAAAGACAATTTTACAGTAATTTAATTCAATTCATAACATTTTCCTGACTAAATCAAAAATAGGAATATAAACAGGAACTAAAAAACATTGCAGGGTGATAGACATTACATACAAACATGGTTTATAACATCTGGGGATATTTATAACATTTTTTAGAGTAATAAAAATAGATCCATCCATTGAGGTAATTACCTATAGTTTTTAAATCAATCCTTTAATAAGAATAATGTCAGGACAAGACAAAGGCTTTTAAATTATCAATGATTTTTGAAGTGAATGTAGGTACCTACCTAATGACGTTTGTTTGGAAGGTATATAGGTAGTTTATGTAATTATTATTACTGGTATAAGTAAAACCTACTAGCCTATATAGACCTTTTTTATCATGGGATTTTCTGGCATCATCTGGATTTTAGATGTTTACTAATTTGGTAGGTAGGTGCAGTGGCGTGGTAACGAAACTTATTCAGTGTTCTAAAATCAATTAAAATCTGAGTAATGTTTGAAATATTTTTATACTCTAAAATTTGGCTCTAATGTATTTATTCCCCTCTCCCCCGAAAATGTTTTCCTACTACGCCACTGGGTATTTTAGAGTTCCTGGAGTTGAGCAGGTAAGTATTACTCATTTTAATAATAATATTAAAACATTTTAATTATTATATCAAAACGTTTCGGTTATACCTAGGTAGATATTAAAATAAGGCTTGAAATTATGTAGGTAATTGTGCAGACAATGTAGGCAAAAACAGAATAAAAATACAACCAGAGCAAAAAGTTCAACAGACCGGGAATTGTTAATTTCTATTTTGAAAATTCTATTATAAATATTTACAGAACCATAAAATGATAAATGCTCTAATGATAAGGAAATCATTATAATAATGCTGGAGATTATGCTCAACTTAATTATTTAAAACAGATATTTTATTTTGCCAATTTGTTCAAGAATCTCAAGATATCGCTGGGTAAATTGTTAAATAATTAACTACAAAGAGACAAATAGGCATTAAGCATATAATATACCTAACTACTGTGATAATTATTATTTTTATAAATAACATCATTTACTGAGCAAACATGTCACTGCTTATTTTTGCTTTTCCCCGTTAATTTTATTTATAAATATATCATAAAAAAATTAATTAAAATATAAACTAGTTCTCTTCTGATGATTATTTATAAGTATTAATTTGCATTTTAAGTGCAGATTTTTCTGTTGACCCTGTTAAAATACAAACAAAGTCATGTCAAAAAACTTTTATAAGTTATTCAAAAAATATTAATACAATGAATAGAAAACTAATGATAACAATATTAGGCAATCTTAATTACTCTAGTTCTAGTTCAGGTAACTAAAGTAAATCACAATAAATATAAATGACCAGTTATTACATACCTTTGCAACTGTTATTCCATTATTGTGGTATCCTTCAGAAATAAAACAAGTTTTCAACTTTTTGTAAACGTACCCGCAATATTAAGATAAATGAAAAGGGTCGAAAAAGTACATACAAAACGGTAAGGACCTTTAAAAACAACAATTACAATTAAAACACAGTTAAAAATTGTTCATAAAAACGATGTACACCATAAACACAACGAACACACATATACACCATTGAAGTTGACTGTCAACTGTTGCTTTTGGTTAAAAAATATTTTTGACATATAGCGACCCTAACGGCAAATAAGTAAACTGCAAGTCTGCAATCAATACAACGTTTCCAAATACTTTTAAAACCGTAAAGTAATACGCAATTTGATTGGTGAGATTTGGTAAAACTGCTGTTTTTGACGTTAATTTGACAATTATGACGTACAACACTGACAATAGATTTGACATTTGTGGGTTAATGATTAGTTTTTGAGACGTCTTTCAATCTATTGTAAGAAAACGTAATGAAATGATTATTATTCGTGTTTACTGAATGATAATCGAGATAATTTGATATTGAAAACATTAATTTATTATTAAAAAGAAATGGAACAATATCCGCCCGAATCAACACCAAATGGAAATGAAAGTGTAAGTATACATTTATTATTCAATATATACCTTCATATTATGAATATTTTAGAATACACAACAAGAAATAACTGTAGAAAATAATCCACCGAGCCCTGTTTGTATAGCTGCTAGTTCATCCAGTGAGGACATACCTCCTCCTAAAGCTGATTATTATGCACCACCTCCTTATGAGGTGGCCACAAAGGGCACCAAGTTGCCTACGTACGAAGAGGTGCAAAGGGAGAAAAACCTAGAGGAACAGGAAAATGCTGTCCCAATAAATTCCCCATCTACAAGGGTAAGCAGAAAATTTATGTTTTCAAGTAGGTCATGAGGAACTACTTTTGATTAAAGGTTTTAACTCGATATAGAAACTTCCTTGGTAAAGCCATTTAAAATATTAACATTGAAATATCGCTGTACTTTCTACAGATATCCATGAGTAATTATCATGTTTTTATCAATAAATGTTTACAATTTGATAACTGAATAACTTACAATGTTTTTATTATTTGAATAGATACTGAGTTTATAATTTGTAATTATTTATGATAATGGGCTTAGATTATAATAAGACATATTTCACTAAACAAATAACTTGTAATTTGACCTCACTTTATCAATACATATAATTAAGAAATGAATATTTAATTTAACTTTTTCAGTATGTTTTTAAGAAAGTCTTATAAAGAAGAGGGTAATATGTAGAAATAACTAAGTACTGTCAGATCAACTAGTCCATAAACTTTAATATCTTGAATTTGTTATTTTAGAAATATATTGTATGTAGCTTTTGGTCACTCTATGTCACTTGAAATTTGCTATTGGAATTTGATGCAAATTAATTCCTAATCTACTTAGTTACTAAAATTAGGTATTTTAATGCAAAATTTTCTTTAAAAAATAAGGTGTATAAAAAAAGTAAAAGTATTCCCAAGTAGGTAGTAGTAATTTTCTAATACCCACTATAATATTTCCAGCTACCCTTTTGTTTTTAATTTTTTTTACACTTCCATTTCCAAATTACATTTATATTTTCCCTAAGTGCCCTCCTCACCTTTTATTCCCATATTTACAAATTATTTTTCATATAGTTTGTTATTACCCATTTCTCAAAGAAATGTACCCATCACTCTTAATATACTTTGCAATACCTAAAAAAAAAATTGTGATTTAATAAACTCATTGACCTAATAGTTAACTACAATTGTTTATTATTGTTATTCCTTGGTAGTTGAAAATAATATTTATATAAAATATTATTTTTGTATTCATTTGTATGTGTTTTACTCATTTTGATTTATCTACTTTGAATAATAGTCTACATAATATAATACATTTTTAATGTTATTGTCATGTTTTTTTCAATAATAATGAAACATCACTTTTATACTGCATTTAATTAGTGTAATGATCAATATTTGTGTCATACATATTTACACTTTTAAACACATATATACAACTTATTGATATAGAATCAATAGGAGAGGCTATGAGGATATTAAAAGTGTCCACACCTTTGCATTACATTTTTATGTCATGTGTCAAACTCCAGCTAGTAGAGCTACTCAGTTTTAGTAATAATAAATGGCATTTTTTTTTTTTCAATAGCTTCTGAATAGCTTTATTTAAATGATGTAAGAACATTTTCATTCCTCCAATCTTCAAATATAAAGTCGCGATTTTGATTACACTGTTCCATCAGTCAGGCATTGCTAAGCGGGTCGTGAGTCCATCTGTCATATTGCAAAATAGTGTTTATTTCGTCTCTACTTCATTCTATCTCGATAGTACAACTGCTATAAATGTTTGTGACTATCTAATTTTATTAATATCAAGATTTATTAGTGTTATCTTTGCTATCAAAAAATTTGTAATTGTTATTATCAATTCTAGGTTCTAGACTACTGTTGTTCAATTAGTTTATTAATTTTTTAATTTAATTTGTCTTAATAAATCAAGGTGTGATACAGTAGTCCATTCTGTATCATGCAGTTGCTAACTAGCAAATGGCTTAGTTTGGGTCAGTCATTATGTTACCACTTTGAAAAAATCAGAATTCTCTAAAGTAAATTCTGTAACAAAAATGGTTATAAAAGTGGATTTCGAGTGACTTAGATGCAGGCAAATATTCTTGATGGTAAAGCATAACAACTAGTTGCTGAGACAGAAATATGGACGTTTGGACAATAAATAATATCAAGAAATTAATAGGAGATATGTTTATTGATAAGATACTCGGAACTTATCATATTTTTAGGAATAAAGTAAGACTTCAGCAAAACCTACTGTTTATTTTGTAATCTGTATATGTAAGATGTGTTCTCCTTACATTAGTTAGGCCTCAATAGCCGCATTGTGCATCCTCCAGATGCTGCCTTTCAGGTGAGATGTCTATAGGGATGACTACCTCTCAGATCGTCAGAAGGCCTGCAGATCTGCTTGAGATAAAATTACATAATACATTTTGCTTTATTAAGTTTTTTTTTTAATTTCAAATCAGTCCGACAGTGACATTAGTGACATTATATACCAACCAACAGACGTTTTGGAGAGCTGAGAGGCAGGTCTTTAATTCCCGTGAAGGATGCGCAATGAGCCTATTGAGGTCTAAGTGACACGGAGATCCACCCCTCTTTACATATACAGATCGCAAGGAGTAGTATAGCCTTTGCTGAAATCTTACTACATTCTCAAATCAAACTATTAGAGAAAATAATATATCTATTTAGTTCTGATATCTATTATTCTATCAGTAAATATACCTTCCATTAATTTCTTGGTCTATTAAAATATTTATTATCCAGGGTCCATAATATTTCTTTCTTAGCAACTAGTTGTTATGCTTAACCATGAAGAATATTTGGTTGCTTCCAAATTACTCTGAATCAACTTTTGTAATCACTAGTTATTACAGATTTTACTTAAGAATTCTAATTTTCTCAAAGTGGTAATACAACAACTGACCTTGATCATAGCCACTTGGTCGGTAGCATAACTGTATGATACAGCATAGACTAATATAGCGATCCTGAATACTAGAATAGCTACTTTTGTCAAAGTTGTTATATACAGTTGCTATGAAAATGTTAAGATAGCAAGTGGTTAGAAAGTTGCCAGATAACAACTAAAGTTACAGAATAGACCCCACAGAAGAGTTTACTCAGTTTATTCATGCTCTCAAAGGATTCAATTTTTTTCCAAATCCAAAAATTAAATTTATTTAAAACCTTTCTATTACTAGGAATATTATTCAAACTAACCTTAAATGATTAAACAAACGCAAATAATATCTTGTTCATCTCAATTTCGTGTTTAATAAGAGAAGACGGATATATTATATCTACTCTAAAGAAATGTTAAAATTACATTTTAGATCCTAATATAACAAGATGGAATCAATATGGTGTGGAATTGTATATCTATCAAGCAATAATATCTTACCAAACTGAATTTTCACAACCCTTTATATGAATAATTTACTCATGCAATGAAATGTATTTCAATAATTAGATTATTAAACAAATAATATAATAATAATAAACGTCTTTATTGCACAAAAGTAAAGTACATAGGGCAAGATTTATCTTAGCTATTCTTACACAAATAGCTTGTTACTGGCCAATCAATATATACTTAGGATGCCAGTATGATTTGGATTTTGGAAACTGTATTCTGCATGATTGCTACACCAGGTTATTTACATCATAATACAAGCTTGATTTAAATATGCAGGTGTAATTATAAGGACGTGAGTGGTAGTAGAAAGAATAATATTCCAAAAATCAGAAAACGTTTTTCTTCACAATTTAAATAATACGACTACAATGTTCATATTAAGAATAGTCTACCGCCTTTACAGTAACTAAGATATCTAGTAATTTTTAATTAACAGTTGTTTTTAAACTGCTTAGTGTCTAGGTCTAGAAAATGTTCTTTGTGCCACAGCTCAAAGTGCATCACTTATACAGATTTTAAAGCAACATTCCCCACCTTCCACTTTATTTGAAATCCTATGGGCTAGCCTTTAGTAACAGCACACATCTCACTACAACAGTATTTAGATGAGCATTACTATTAACAATTGGAGTATTTATTGCGTAATGGTATATTTTCAACATATCAGCTGTTTTTCAGACCACTTGCAATGTAAAACATATATTCTGAAATTATTTTTCCAAATTTGTATATTCATTACTTAAAATATCAATTTAAATTTGTGGAATTTTAGGTAACTAAGGGACTGATGAACTTAACACTGGATAAATAGTCCAGATGAGAGCCCAAAGAAACAGAAGAATAAATAACATGCTTTCTATTTGTTCAGCCACTATTGGCACCTTTCTTAATTATTAATAATTTACATTGATCTATTTTGTTTTATTATTATTATTAACCATTTATTTATCAATCTATTTATTGAAATATATTTAATTTTAAGTATAATATTATTCGAATAAACTGGCATGGGGATGCGTTGAGAGAATATACTTATTGGTTCATTCATTCCTTGCTCATTAAATGATATGTTACACCTAGTTATTTATATCATGGTTACAATCTTATTAAGTAATAATTTGTGTTGTTTTAGAAATTATAAATTTTTGTTGATTGAATACACCATGTTTTAGTGAAAGTCTCTGATCCCTGATTTTTCTGTTTTGCTTATAAAATTATCATTTATTCACCAACATGTGTTAATGAAACTAAACATACCTATAGGTATGTCTTATGTTGTCTGTGTCAATTATTTTATTTATTGATTGTTTTATATAGCCAATAACTTACTACTTACTCTAATAATGTTATTATTCGTTTTTGAATGCAGCCATTACCATTTCGTCCAGGGCAGCGAATTATAACTATTGATGCAGAAAATCCAGAAGATGTGGATACATCATTATTAGGAACAGATTTTATGTTTTACCTTGCGTTTTTTGGTAAGTTTCAATCTCTCAACAAACTAGAAAAAACAATACTTTTTTGTGTATTTTTGGTCCAGTATGTGAATGATTCAAACCAACTTCTGATTTATTATTAGTTATAGGCGATTGATATTTTTTGTGGTGGGGTGGGTATCATTTTATGTAAGCATTCCCAATATCAAAATAGCAAATACCACATCAATAAACAAATTTTATATTCACCTTACCTACTGCAGTATTCAGCATCTGAGTAAGAATCGTCCAGTAGGAGTAATCAGACCCGAATGTAAAAAAATGGAGAGGCGAATTTGATTTAAATAATAAAATAAGTCTTAATACACATTCTTAATTAATTGGTATTCCTGGCTTATGACTGGCTGGCTTATGCCTTGAGATATAATGAGACTGATTAAAGAAATATGATCGTGCAACATCTCAGGATAGTGGTTATCGTGCTCTTTATTTGAGAGTTACGTGTTTTTAAAATGTTGAAATAGATCATGTTTGTGAGGCATCAGTGGCTGATAATAAGTAATTATGTAATAGGCCTAGTTGTGGAGCTACCTTGAGGTATTCTTGCATTCATTTTGTGGAATGAAGGTAACCACCAACAACGATAGCTATTGAGCAATTTGATAAGAATCTGACAACTAATTTACAATAGTTTTTGTGTTAGTCCATTTGCAAAATTGTGTGTCATCTGATCAAAAGCTTTTTTAATATCAAGTGTAGCAATACAATTGGTATAGCTTATCCTTATTGGGGATTCCCATACATTCCTATACATTTCAGCCTGTTGTCCTTTGTAATAAAGTCAGTAAATTCCCTCATAGGCTCTTTTTGGTCTTATTATGTCTTATGTAATGGTCGCGCGTTACCAAAAGCCACCTTAATAGAAAAAAAGGACTGCATATTAATAGTGAAAAGGGAAAAATAATTGGAATTAATGAGTTCTTAGCCATATAAGAGTAGTGATATACAAAAATAAATTCTTGTTTACCAATTTTATCACTTTTTCGTATTAATAGAAAAACTAGATAACTTGTTTTGCAAGGACAAACATACTTTTAATTTTTGACTTAAATATTTTACATTTTTGGTCATTCTTTTTTTTACTTACAGTTGCCTTTATTTTCAATTGGATAGGATTTTTATTGTTAATGTGCTTTTGCCATACAATTGCATCGAGGTATGGAGCCTTGTCAGGTTTCGGATTATCGTTGGCAAAATGGACATTCATTGTGCAGCATTCAACTGAATTGGCATCTAAAGATAATAGCTGGTTGTGGTGGCTCATCATGACTTTTGGTAAGTTTATGTGGTTAATATTTTATGAAAAGTTTTGTTTTGTATTATAAAGTTAGAAGAAGCTAATTATTATTTCAGCTATAATTAAAAATATGGGGTTTTGCAGTTGTTCAATAAAGCTATTATATAAGTGTCTCAAATAACACTATCAAAATGATTAGTTTTATTGTGGTTAAACCACCAATTCGCGGTACAAGAACTGATAAGAAACTTAGATCAGAGAATTTTCATGAATTTAGTTTTAAACGTGAAGTACAGGCGACGAAATTGAAATGTGAACTCCAAAATTTAATGGGGATTTAGACTTTGCATCATAGTCGTTCGTCACATTCCAATTTAACAGTTCTTAAAAGTGATTGTCGAATAAATTTTTAAAAATGTAGCATTTAACTGAGGCTCAAAAGTGAAAATTTGAAGCAAATTACTCTTTAAATGAAAAGGGTGCTGAATTAAATGTCAGTAAAAGTTGCATATCGTCGGCCTAATTTTTGAACCTCGTAAGTCAACAATTTTGTGAAATTTAGATTTTGTCATAATGCAACGTAATAATTATGATATCTACGATATTTTAAAACCTTGTAACTCTCGCCCGAATATTGCGACATCTATGTGTTATTATTTGAAGCTCGTATGTCGGCAATGTAATTCGATCATATTAAATCCTCGTAAGTCATTAGTTCAGTGTTGCGTACAACCGCCTGTTTGAGTGCTCCGTGAAAAACTTGCAAATGGTAAGAAATTGTACTTATATAAGCCAGATTTGTACTATTTTAAGTTATTTTTTAAGTAAGTTCTGTTTGTGGTAATTATTTAATGGGTTTACAATAATATTACAATGATAATAAACCGATTAATTTCTCTTTTGAGATACGAGTTTTTAAAATTCATGAAAAGTTATAAACACATTAAAAACATCAGACCTCGCATTAGACTTACGGGTATTTAACAATTTTTTCCATACATTAAAGTACCTATTTGTCTTTTAGCAAAATGTCTTTACGCACGCAAAAAATAATGCAAATGGCATCAAACGATAATATGGCTAGTACGAATTTTAATAAACCGTCTCAACATTTAAACATGTTCATCTCTAATGAGAACACTGCAACCTCAAATAACATTGAAGAAAGCTTACCGGTTTCCGATGCATCACTACTTCAATATGCAATGAATGTAGAAAACCAACTTCAGCATGCTTTAAATACGCCCAGTCCCAGTTTTGATAGCAATGTAATGTCTAGTACAATTATTTTTGAAAATGTTAATAAAAACAGTGTCGATGTTGAAGAAGAATGCAATGATATAGCAGATCCTAACGAACAATTAAAAGACCCAGACTGGACAGAACCGGAAGATCAGCTCAACGCCATAGCTAATGAAAGTGACAGCGATTTAGAACAGTTTGAAGACGAAACTGACATTGATGTAACACCTAACACAAGAAATAAAAGCAGTATTGAAAACGCAGAAAATATGGATGAACCTGACACTGCAATCAAAGATGCCCCAAGAAAAGCGAGGAAAAAAAGACATGTGAATAATAAAGAATGGGACGTTAATGTGCAAAAATTTAAACGTAGCAAAGGAGAAGAATACAAAGGGCTGAATAGGGAGGAAGAAAAATGGACTTTCAACAAAAAACGAAATGCAAGACAATTGAAGCCATCATGTCTTTGTAAACAGAGTAGACAAAAATCAAAGTTAAATTGTAATTTATTAACAGAGAAAGACAGACAAGTTATTTTTCAAAATTTTTGGAGTAAATCTTGGGCTGAAAAGAAAGAGTATGTTAGAAGTTTAGTTGATCTTGGGCCAGTAAAACAAAGAAAAACAGAAGCGCAAGTATCTCGTAGGAAAAATTCTCTATATTTTTTCTTAAAGGTAAGTTAGTTAAACCTTAAGCAAAGCAAAATTCTAATTCGTTTTGGTTTTTACAGGTTGCTAGAGGAGCTAGGTTTCGGGTCTGTAAAACTCAATTTTTGAATACCCTTTGCATAGAGGAGTGGTCAGTATTAAGTTGGGTGAAAAGTAACCAAGGGAATCCAGATGAAGAAGTAGAGAAATTGACGAATGAAATGAACAAAGAAGCAAAAAATGATGTAGTCGAAAGAAAAAATAATTTGACTGTCAAACCAAAAAGAAATCATGTCAAGAAAATCGAAATGGACTATTTGCGTGATTTTTTAAACAGTCTTCCGAATCTAGAATCACACTATTGTCGCGCGACATCTAGCAAGAAGTACTTAGAACCCATTTGGACGTCAAAAAATCAACTATATAGTTTTTACAAAGAAGAATGTAGTAGGGTAGGAATATATGCAGTATCTGATGCTTCGTTTAGTCATGTGTTCTCCGATTTGAATTATAGTTTGTTTCGCCCAAAAAAAGATCAGTGCGACACATGCATTGGTTTTAAAATTGGTAACATCGATGAAATAGTTTTTAATGCACATATGAAACGAAAGGATGCTGCTCGAAATACCAAAAACCAAGATAAGGAAGAAAAAAAATGGGTGTTTACTATGGATTTGCAAAGTGTACTCATGGCTCCATTAACTAAGGCATCAGCAATGTATTATAAAAGTAAGCTTGTGGTGCATAACTTCACGATTTTCAATTTAAAGAATCTCGATGGCCACTGCTATTTGTGGCACGAATGTCAAGGTGGTTTGACTGCAAATGAGTTCGCTTCCATTCTTCACTCTTTTATTTTCGATCTTCATACTGAGGACGGAGATGAAGTGACATTTTATAGCGACGGTTGTACTTACCAAAACCGCAATGCGATTATAAGTAACACCCTTTTGTTCTGCAGTATGAAAAAGAAAATTACGATTATTCAAAACTACTTAGAAAAAGGACATACTCAGATGGAGTGTGACTCCATGCACTCAGTTATTGAACGAAAACTTCGCAATACGGATATTTACACTCCAGCTGGGTATGTTTCTGTTTGTAAATCTGCTAGAAATAAACCCAGACCCTATAATGTGAATTATCTTAGTTATGATTTTTTTAAAAAGATGTCTGATCTTTCTTTTTACACTACCATACGACCTGGGTTTAAAAAAGGTGACCCCGTGGTTACCGATATTAGTTGTCTAAAATATAATACATCTGGAATAATCGAATATAAGCTTAATTATAGTGACGAATGGACAGTATTGCCTAAAAGGAGAAAGGATAAAGAATGCTCAGTAAATGTTAATATGCCTAATCTTTATAAAGAGCCTTTAAAAATAGATAGAAAAAAATTTGATAATTTGCAGAAATTAAAGGGTGCTCTTGACCAAGATTATCATTTTTTTTATGACCAGCTTCCACATAAAGACACATAATTTGTACCATTTTGAAAACCTTTTCTTTTGTTAACATTTTAGAAAAAATATATTATTTTAATTATATTTTTCATTAGTTTATAGTGTAAGTGTATGTAACCTGTTTTAAGATTCATTTCTATTAAAAACTCGTATGTCTAAGAAATTTAGCATTTTGTATTCTAAAACCTCGTAAGTCCTTTATTAAAAACATTTTTCAACATTTTTGCAAAACCTATTAATTTAAAGTTTTTTTGAACATTAATAAATTTATTTTAAGGTATAGTGTCTGACGATTTGACTTAAATTTTGTAAGGAGCGGTTTTTTCGCTCCCCTGTAAAATTATGCAAATTTGAGTTACGGGGATTTAAAATTAGGCCGACGATATTTTACGTTAAAAAAACTCTGGTAAGAAGAACAAATCATGTCAGAGAAGTGAAAGAATTTAGAAAATGCGCGGACTTGCCTCTTCTGATTTTTTACCTCCAATAAAATGATCGCTACAAATGCAATCATTTGGTTTTGGAATCCACGGTGATCCATCAAGACTATAAAAATATTATTTTAATTATAAGAAAAGGTAAAGTTAGGTTGTACATTACTTACTTTTTTGTTTTAACTGCTTCTATCCATTTCGCTCTTTTTTCTAATTTCCAACTGGCAGTTGGAAATGTATAAAATTTGCAACTACTATTTTTGCCTGTATTTTTGCAATTCACAACGCAACAAGTAGAATGCCCCATTTTTCGTATAGAATAAGTACGGTTAACTGTCAAAACGTCAAAAGAACGAGAAAAACAAACCGTATTTTGCTTAGCGATTTTGTCATATTAAGGCTATCGTATGCCGTGAAGATTTATCCCTATTACTTCTGAATGGTTAAAGATTAAAGTATAGGAATTGCTTTGTTGGCAAGAAAAAACGATGATTAACAAATTTGTATTCGTTCAAAATTTGCCAAAACTCAATAGTTTTTGATATAATGGCGTAATAATTAAAAATTAAATGTAACTCAATTTAAATTTTTGTTAAAACTCAAAAACTAATAACCTTAGGAAAATTAATTATTCACCATTCGACGGAGAAAACTGTTCTCTACAAATTAGCAGGAACGAAAAATTTTCGTAAATCCAACCGTTCATGAGATATTTAAATTATTTTATTAATTTATTCACAACAAAATCCAGATTTAATGCCTACTTTGTCCACTGCGAACGCTGCTGTCGATTCGACTGTCCCCTCATATAATTTGCACCTTGCGAATACAGACAGGAAAGTAAAAATATATTCCTTAACTAAAATTAGTAATTTTTATTTTGTTTGGACCTATATCTAGACCTATTTCGTATTTATTATTTTTTTTAAAGGATTATAAAGACAGGATGGAATAAATTATCATATGATAAACGTCCGTTAGGTGTTATTGCTCGTTTATATTCCTGACTCGGCGCCTGCGTCGCCTCGTCCGTAAAACAACTCGTACTGTAATAAGTTACCTACCGGACGTAAAATACTATTGTGGTTCTTGCCAGCGTTTCTTAACGTATAATATGTTGGACTGTATTATATAGAATAGAAAAGAATTGATTTTTTAACGATTTTATTACAAAGAAACTGGTACAAACAATGCAACTCTACAAAGGTCTTATATGAATTAATTGTTCTCTTTTTTCAACTCTTCATTTTTTACTCGCACTCCCACACATTCCCCCAGACCCGTCACGTGGCATTCCCGATCACAAGAACAAGCGCGGTTGCCAGATTAAGTAAAATGTCCGAACATAATATGCAACTTTTAAGTCAGCACCTACTTCACAAAGACCAATTTTGGTTCAATTTTACTACAGCCTTTGGTTTTCTCTTTTGTAGTCTCATATATTCAATTTTTAATTGAAGTTTGCAATAGCCTTTGATTTTCTATTATAATAAATACTTTTTTGTAGTATTATATGCCTAGCTGTTAATTTTATTTTATTATAGAATTCGTTATATGTAATATATTTTTATTTTATTTTCCAGGTCTCATCATTTGCATCCGTGCAATACTTCAGTATTTGAGTATAAAACGAGGTTGGCATATGCTTTCGGCAAGTCACCAAGAAAGACTTTTATTTTTTTATTAAACTCTAAGTCAGTGTTAACAAGTATATCGTTTTTCGTATACTTGTCATTTTAATGTGATTAGAATTTATCATGATATGAATTTTTCATTCCTTTTTTGATTTCTTTATTAAACTAAATATGTCGTTTTGATACAAAAATCTAACTGTAATGCTCTTTATTATTAAAACAAAAAAAAAGTGAAAAGCTGCACATTATTTTGTCTCTAGTGGAATAGCTATTTCTTTTTACTAAAATAAAAAGGAAGGAACGTATTAAAATAGTGATACATTTAGTACCAAATTAGTCATGCATGGCTTAATAAAATATATTTGGCAAATACAATAAAATGTTAGACACTCTTAATTGGATTGTACTTTATTCGATTTTATAATGTAGTTAAGAATTTGGTTTAATATCTGAGCTTTTTATGCTAGAAATTTTAAGATATATGCAACAGCTATTAATCAACTATACTTGACTTTTGAAAACAACATACTCTCGATACAATAGGGCATGGGTGTTTCACCATAGAACCACACGTTGTTTACGTTTGTTATCCGTTTAGAATTCCCTTGTTAATTTTTTGTGTTTGAGACTTGAATTCGTTTCCCGTAAATTATATTTGTTTTGTTTAATTTTAAAGTCGGTATGTCGGGAAGAATATTGTGCTATTGATATGTGAAAAAACAACAAGCTTAATTTTATAACTAAAGAATGGATAAATCGTTGTTAGAGGTCAGTTAAATTTTACTTTAAAAAACAATGATAAACTGATTAATTTTTATACACATATTCCAAAGATTTATTTAATCTACAGAGTTGTAGATTCCCTATAAATAACCTAATATTAATTCATTTTTATCTCTGGGACATTCTGTACATAACAAAATTATCTGAAGCTAAGAAATTACTCAAAATCAGTCCCACATAATTATCCCACAAAATTATCTTGTACAATATGTATAAAATTAAAATATGCCATGTTGACAAAAAAGATTTTTATTAAGTTTGTTGTAATTAATGTTTGATAAAAATAAAAAGAGTAAAATGAGTAATTACCATCGGCTTTGTTGTGAAGGAATTCATACCACCACAACTGGTTACACTGTTGCCGATTTGGTGGCAAAAAATGTTCTTAGTTCGTATGACAAAATCGAATAATTTTGACATACAAACAATATGCAACATTAATTAATATGCGTTGAAACATTGAGAATGCAGCTCTTCGATCACCTTTCTTTCAAAAATACTTTGGAGACATGTTTTGGATAATTTTTAGTGTGAAGAGGTGGATGCAGTTATAGGAGATGAAAAAAATGACAGTGCAGTACATTTTACTTTTACAGAATAAAAGAGAACATTAGAGTTAGATTATTTGGAAACGAAAACAGAAGTAGGAACACTTAGTTAATAAAGAAATTAGTTTTATATTTATACGCAACATGTACCTAGTTATATTTTACTGTGTTCCACTGACATTTAATTTTGATGAATCTTCTATTTGTAGTGAAAAAGCACTTTTTGGTAAAAAAATGTTAAAAATTATGCCATTAAATTATATAAAATTAGATATTTCTGTCCACTATTTTTAGATGGGAAAATAACGACACTGCTTGGCATAATTACACTTGTAAGTTGTATATAAATGAAATTTTATACAAATATTTGACGAAACTTGGTCAATATAATTTTATTTTGCATTTACTTTTATTCTGTTCTCTCTAAAATCTTTCTAAATTTGAATACATAATTATTATAAACTATGCCAAAAATGGATTTTTCTTTTTGTTGTTATTTTTAGACACTTGTTTTTTTTATCATAAATATAGAGAAAGAAATAAAATCTTTATAGTGTTGTTCCCGTTTGGCAATAATTATGGGTAATTTAGAATACCGGGTTAGTAATTTTTAGTAGTCTATGTTCCAAATAAAAATAGTCTGTTAAGGAACATAAAGGAAATAAAGTTTGAAATTGCAAACTGTTCCTGTCTAGTAGATCGATCTCGTTTTGTGTAAAGTGTCATGTAAGAGAACATTTATTTACAATAATTATTTTGAATGCTTAATGTAATTTTTTAGGATATTAAAAATTCAGGATTGTTTTTCATTAATTTACAAACTTCAAAAGAAAACTATGTTCCCTGGTTATCCATTTTGTTCTTAAAAAAAATAGTCTGTAGATTTCGATTACAATACTTTACCAGGTTTTGTTTAATTTATTTCACTATTTTAATGTAAAAGATAATAAAAATTTATCAAACAAAGGGTATTATATGTCGCTGATTAGTCCAAAAACAATAAAAAACTGTCAATTGAATTGAAACTGCATCAGTTACTTGTCTATTATATACAAAAGCTATTTAAAAATGCTTCATTTTTAGTTATATTTCAATTAAGATACCCGTCAAGATCAAATTAATTATTACAGATTTTATGGTAAATGCTGCATATCGCATCTCATGGAAAAGTGGTACAACTCAAAAATAACGAGTTTAAAATAAAAAAAAATCGTTAAACTCAGTTATTAAATGTTATTTATCAAAACGATTTTAGTTATGACACTGTTTCGTATAGCAGTGTCGATCCTGATTGCATCACTGTGATTTTAGTTCAATGTTAGTGGGTGAAGTTTGAGTTGTCACTTTTTTATGAATCGTGTATTATGAATCGATTTCATTTAGATAAACAAGATAATTTTAATATCTACCGGTTTTCTTTGTAATTAAAAATTGCTTTTGTGATCGGCTTTTTAAACCAATAGTTGTAATAGAAGAAATCTTATTAAATGGATATATTATATTGGATAACACTAGCAGTTCGCTGTATTCGAAAGTTTTTTTTTTAAATCATTGTTACCATAAAAGAAAAATTCCTAAATTTCTGGTAATTGCAAGCTGGTATTTTGTTGAATCAGTGTGGTTGTATAGTAAACTAAAATATTTTTAAGCTGTTACACATTTTGCAATATTAAATACAAATAAATTTCTTATCGAAATGTTTGACAGCACAATAATAGAATTATATATTAGTAATTGTCTACACACAGATAAATATTTTGTTCTTTATTCAACATTTCAAAACTATATTACCTACTTGTTTACACTAATTGTAAGATAAGAGTGAAATTATTTTTGAAATTTTAGATAAAGACTTAAGTTTATCGAATTATATATGTTATGTATACTTTATATTTGACTGTACAGTATAGTTGAACTATAATGTATTGCCATAATTAGGTTATATGCAAATATTGAAATGTTTACAAGATCTGAATTGTACAATAAATTAAACCACGTCTAAATTATTTTTCTTGTCTTTCATATCATTTCCTATGTACAATGTTAATAACTTTAAACATAACAATTGATTTGCAACATGGATTTTTGTAACAATTGGCACCAACGTGTTATCGCTTTCGCTGCCCAAGCTTTATTGCCAACTACCCAGACAAAACACCAAATCCCAGAGATATCCACAGAATATCCTTTGTGGATATCCAATATATCCACAGGATATCAGAAATATTCCGTGGATCTAAAATGGATATCCAAATGTCCGTCTATATCCAGAATATAGAAGATATCCTAATTCAGCAAAATATCTAATGGGTATCTTCCAGAAAATACAAGAAATCCCAGAGATATCCACAGAATATATTTTGTGGATATTCAATATATCCAATATGGATATCCAACCAAATGTCCGTCTATATCCCAGGATATAGAAGATACTCGGATATTCAACAAAATATTTTATGGGTATCTTTAGTAGAGGTTCGTAAGTAACCAATGATTATTGAATAACGTCGAAAGAAAATAGAGATAAAAAATATTTTCAACACTCTGCCTTTGATTTTACCCGCCAAGGAGAAAGTCATCATTATTAGGACTCTTCAGCATTAAATGGAAATTCTCGACTCCAGTCTCTAATGGAGTCTGTAGGACAAAAATTTCGATCGAACTCTATTACGGCGGGTCGAGCATGAGTAGATGCGATAGTAGTATCGCCATCTATACTTAGTAAGCAGAATCAAATAACATCTAGTGGACATCCACGATGGTTTGCGTTCGCGCCTAAACTTTAATATATTTAGTGGATGTTCATGGGATATTGAATACACCTTAAAAAAATTAATTTTAAATATCTGAACGGTACTATTAGCCACAATGGCGTATTTTTTTAATAATTTGCTATATAATTACTATTATTTATGGACATTTGCATGTCTATAAATTACATCTTATGGATATAAAATATATATCTACCATGGACTGGACATTCAGTGGATATTGGGATGTTCAGTAGATATCCAAAGGATTTGGTGTGCTGTCTGGGTACACGCTCTGGCCCATCGGTATACGAACATTTACAAGCTTGGACGTTTATTAACGTCATGGGCCATAAACAATGAAAATCTAAAAATTTATTCTGGGGAATAGCTATTATATACACAGGGTGATTATAAATACAGACAGAAGTTAACACAAAAAAGAGAAAAGAATATAGACATCTATAGGATGTACCTATAAATTCATTTATCGATCAAGGTAGTCAAGCACTTCAAGAATGGTTGACCAGAGACTAAGTTCTCGGAAGCCTATCTAGGGAGTGGAATTAATAAATCGAAAGAAGTAGGTTATTCAAATGGTGGTACAATTAGCCAATGAAGCTGCAGCCACCATTGTAATAGCTCGGCGTTACTCGTAAGAAATTTTGACTAGCTCATAGAAATTTAACACCAAACATTACTTACCTTTAATCAAATTAAAAAGAAATGAGCACATTGTCTATATAGTTTTCTCAGTCGTGAATTCGGCTTTTCTTTAATAGACACCTTTGGGGATAATAGTTTTCTGGGAGAGATGGGCGCCAATAATTCTTTTTTTATTTTTTAGAAAGCTAGTGAGAATTATCAACTCTAGCTTTATTAAAAGGAAATTAAAGGGTTAGGTGTAGTCAGAGACATTAAAAAATGACAATTTTAAATAATTTTTTTTTGCCAGTAAATTATTTTATTTTA